TACCTGAATCAAACAGTATAGCTTTTAAAGCTTAGGAGGTAGGGTTCTAAGCCACCTTCTAAAAGCCTTCTGGATATGCCGTGCATCAGGGTGACGGTGACAACGGCCTTGAGAAACCTTCATTCTACTTTCATGGAAAACCTCACCTATGCCCCAGAAAGATTTTTCTTTTCTGCTTTGTCCTTATGCGCCTAGCTTTTTAACATTGCTGCCCTCGAGATAGGAGCAGGAACTCCCTCTTGCTGTCCACAGGGGCCTATGCAGCAGAACAGCTGGGACACAGAAAGGTAGCCCTCTGGAGTGCTAGGAACCTCTGTGAAGGGTCGAGGGTCAGAGCTCAGATTCCCAGAATCTACCTAAATGCTGAACAGGCATGGCAACCTGCCAGGGATTCCAGACAATAGTGAGACTACTCACCATCAGTGAGCTCTGGGTTCGACTAAGAGTCCTTGCCTCATTGAATAAGGCTTGGAAGAGCGATGGAGGAGGAGTACTGACATCAACCTTGGGCCTACACACATAGACACACAGACACAGACAGACAGACAGACAGACAGACAGACACACACACACACACACACACACACACACACACAAAGAAAAGGCAAGACATTATTTCAGTTACCACCAGAAAAAACATTGTTTGGTATACTTCATAAGATGGAAAGTTGGAGTTTTTTGTAGCAAATATTGAAACTAGAAAAATATGTTCTTGTTAGCTTCCAGTTGACTGGGAAATGCAAGTAACTGAACTTCTGGGAGGAAAGTCCTTGGTTTGCAATTCGTCCGTTTTTATGACTCATCCACTGTGGGTTAGAGCAGCTTGGCAGAACAGCTTAGCAGGCTCTGGACCCTGATCATCCCGCGGAACATTTGTTACACTCTGTCTTCATCAGCTTCCTGGTGCTGTAGCAAAGCACTGGAGATTGGTAATGAATAATAGATACGCACTGGCCTCGTGGTTCTGGAGGCTGGCCCAAGCGTATGTCACTGGCATGTGCTTAGCATCTGATGTGGTCTTCTTTCTGCATCCTAGCCTAATGGAGGTGTACCACACAAGGACATAGCATGAGTGTCAGCTCAGATTTACTTCCTCTTCTTAGGAAAACCACTAATGCCACTATGGGAGCCCCACTTACAAGTTCATCAACTCCTAATCACTTCATAAAGGCCTTCTGTGTGAACACAAGAACTTGGGCGGGGGTCACAATTCCAATACATGGATTTTGGGGTATCATGTTTAAACCACAGAACTCTTCATAGAGGGTAAGGTTGTTGCTATGCAACCATCTTTCAGCCCAACTAGCAGAACACAAGCCAAGAGCTAGAAACAATGAACACCACTCCCCCTTAATTTGAATATATTTTGTAGTGAGTGGTTTCCTTTCCCAAAGTTTCTTAAGTGAACAAAAAGCCCGTTCCATGAGGCACATCATACCCAACAATAACCAATAACTTTTCATTCTTTACAACAGGCCATCTCTCTTCTTGGGATTTACTGAATTAACTTGTGCTCTGTCAACAAGCAGTTATTAGTTGACAAAATAATCTCCTTATAGAAAATAAACACTGGCTGAAATTGCCAGTAAATGGTGCAGTTTGTGTTAGACTTGGGGGTCTGAGTGACCCTGAAGCCCTCATTAGGAGGAACTGGCCATGGCATTGACAGCGGTAAGATTATTCTCTGCCTTGGCTAGAGAGGACATTTCAGCAAAGTAGTCAGACAGAAGCTGTTCCAAATGCTCCTGAGAGCAAAAGGAAGAGAGAGCCGGGCTGGTACAGAACATTCTTTTGATGAATTCCATTGCGAAGGACAGATAAAGAAATAAAGTGACACCTAGAGAGAGAAGTCAAAGAAGGTGGATTTAGGATAGGAACTGGCATACCTATCCACTCGATGGGAAGGCCGAGGACAAAGGAAAGCATCAGCTCAGGGGGAGAGGGAAGCCGTGTCAGTCGGGCCTGGCTCACCGTGGTGCTGGCCTTGGATCAGGACCGCGGTTCCTTCATAGACTAGGCCAGGGGAGAAAACACGGCAGGAAAATGTGGAGTGGGTGCTAGGCTGGAGAGCAGAGGCAGTGTGGGTTTCAGGGAATGAGAAATGAGATCCCTCCTTCATTGTAAGAGTGCCAGAGTGAGGCAGTTTACTACATCTTAGAGCCCGGCATCAGCCCCACATGGCTGGGCGTGCTGACTGAGCCGAGAAAACAGATTTAAACCCCAGTGCAATGTGTGGTTTCCTCTTCTCCCCTTGGATCCATGCAATCAGGAGGGGACAATCTCACCCCACCCAGGTGTCTTTCTCTTTTGTCGCTTATGTTTATCTGTTTCTCAACAAAGCCACCTGTAGGATCATCTCAACACTTGACACCCTGTTTACTTCAAAGTTTCTTGGGGCCCATCACAGCTTCAGGTGGTTAGGCGAGGTTGGCTGTCCACTTTCTATTCTAAATTTACAGTTTGGTGTTGGTGGGGGGAGCACAGCTTTGCAGAATTTTGTGTGTGCGTGTGAGAATGTGTCTGAGTGTGTGTGAGTGTGTGTAAGTGTTGTGAGTCTGTCTCTGTGAGTGCCTGAGTGTGTGTGTGTGTGTGTGTGTGTGTGTGTGGGAATAGCTAAAGTGGTACACATTGCAGGACTCCAGTGTCATCTGTGCACTTGTAACTGGACATAAGCGAGCTTGAGGCACCTTTGAAAACGAACCATCAGATTTTATTTGTGACAAGGAAACAAAGAAATGAGAAATGATAGCAATGGACCTGAAACTAAGCCAGGAGGTCAAGATGGGAGGGAGTTTGCAAGGAGAGTAGGGGACACAGAAGACCCTAGGACGGTCATGTAAATTCTGGTGGAGTCAAGCAGACTCCACAAAGGGGGATGCTGGAGAGCAGAGATGGTGATACTGTGACAGTGGGGGCCGGCTGGGGAGCAGGTCGAGAATGAGAGGGAATGTCAAAGAGCTGAGCGGACAGAGGGTGAGAAGAATCCGCTACGTACACATGGAAGCGTCTAGACTAATCGTAGGAGCACCAGTGAGGAAAGTAACCAAGCCGGAACAGGGCCTGTGGTTGTCAAGAAGAACCAGGGTCAGACAGCAAGAATTCAAAGACACCTTTAGAGAGGAGGCCAAAGATGTTAACGGAAGTAACCTTGCTGCTGCTGAGAGTAGATGGAGGGGTGACTGTGTGTGTGTGTGTCTGTGTAACACTCTGTGTGTGTGTGTCTGTATAATACTGTGTGTGTGTCTAACACTCTGTGTGTCTGTGTAACACTGTGTGTGTGTCTGTGTAACACTGTGTGTGAGTGTCTGTGTAACACTCTGTGTGTGTGTGTAACACTGTGTGTGTGTCTGTGTAACACTGTGTGTGAGTGTCTGTGTAACACTCTGTGTGTGTGTCTGTGTAACACTCTGTGTGTGTGTAACACTCTGTGTGTGTGTCTGTGTAACACTCTGTGTGTGTGTCTGTGTAACACTCTGTGTGTGTGTGTGAGGGTCTGTGTGTGTAAGGGTCTGGGCTGTGTGCGGAAGGGTCTTGGGGTGAGTGTGTGTGTGTGTGTGTGTGTGTGTGTGTGTGAAGGGGTGGAGTTGTGTGTACACCTGTGTTCTTGAGTTTGGAACGTCCATCTTCTGTAACAGGGCAACCGTCTTAAGAGGATGCAGTGGTGGTTCAAGGTGGCCGCCTGGGTGGGGAAGGGCGGAGTCTTCTGGGGCTGCATGGGAAATGCAGGCTGCTGCTTCTCTTTGGTCCTCCACAGTGTTCCCTAACCAAATGCAGGGACTGGAAACCGAGAGTTAACAGGGTAGCACTTTGACCAAGACGCAGGGTCACAGGCTATCGCAGCTGCCTCCCTGGTCACTTTGAGCCATAAAAGCTCCCAGAAGCTCTCAACTGCCAACTGCCAGTCCTTTAGGGAGAGAGAGCCAGGCTCCCCTCCCTTCCCTTCCCTTTGACCCCTCAGATTGCAAACACTAGACCCATCCTGGGGGAGCCGCCACAGTCACTCCTGGGGGAAACACACAGTGTGTCTACCCACACTACTCTTCGAGGGGAGTCCCATAACCGGAAGCTATCCAGCCACTAGTTACAATACTCAGATGGAAGCTTCCATGTCTCCATTCTGTACAGGAGACAAAGAGGCCGACTTCTCTCTCTGCCGTGTGTCCCAAGTTACACAGCACCTGCTTCCCTGCCCATGAAATGGGGACCAAATTACTTAGCCCATGAGCCTCTTCAAAGGAGAGACGAATGCTCGGGCTAGAATTCAGGTAAAAACGAAGGATGGGTGGAAGCCTGTTCTACCTGCAGCCAAGGCAGTGTCCAGCTCTGAAAATCCTCTCAGGAGCCCTAAGGCACTTGGAGGAGGGCAGACCCAATGCAGAGGAGCAGGGATCCATCAGAACTGGCAAGGTTCTAATTTTTAAGAAATGGGCAAAAGGGTTAGGGTGCGGGGAGATAGCCTCTAACAGGAAGTGGGGAGTCAGCGCGCGCCTCCAATGGCCAAGGTAGCCTAGCAACCGGCAGGAATGCACGTAGGCCATGGGGCTGGGTGGGCGCATGGGGCTCTCTTTGCAGCCGCGGGCGCTGCGCGTCCTTGAGCCTCCCCAATCCCGGAAAACTTTGGGGTTTCTGTGAGTTGAGGTGTCGGCTCTGGGCCGGGCAGACGCAACGATGCGCCCCAGGGGCTGAGGGCAGATGACCGGGTCTCAACCCCGCTTCCCGGGAACCGCGGGGTCCCAAGCAGGAAAGTTGGTGTGTACCCGCGGGCTTCTGGATGAGTACCCCTAGGCGGAACCGCTCCCCAGGCTTCTTCTGTGAGTCCTCACTCAAGGGGTGACGCCGACCGAATCCCGCGAGCATCCAGGTCCATGGAGCGTAATCGCTGGAGAGAGAGAGCCCCGCGCTTTTCTAAGGGACCCGAGCTCTCCAGGATGCCTTATTTATTGGCAGTACGTGGCTGCAGCGACTCAATTTCTGTTTTCTGCTTTCTTTCCCGCCCCCAGACAGTGATTTTGTGGACGCCACTCCCACTCCTTACAGCCCGGAGGAGTTAGGTAAGTCTTTTTTCTCCCCATTGCTGGAATTCTGCCCTAGAACCGCGAGGTTCCAGAGGGAATCCGGTGGAAGGTGGATGAAAAAGTCGTGGAGACATGCCTTGGTGCAGGTTCGGTTCTCTGGAATTGACTATCGGCCTTTGCTTGGTTGGAGCATTTTCGGGATGTGTGTGTGTGTGTGTGTGTGTGTGTGTGTGTGTGTGTGTGTGTGTGTGTGTGTGTGTGTGTTTGTGGCCCTCAGATCAATTGCTTCTTGCAGCACCACAAACTTCCAAACCTGGCTTCTGTGAGCATCCTGAACTCCCACCCCACGTTGCTGGTGCCTGCTTCTGTCTTGCCAAGTACCAGTAGAAGAAGGACCCTGTAAGAGTATTCTTTCTCCCGAAGTAGTGTGTGGTCAGTAAATTACAGGTCCTAGGAGCCCCTTGCCTTCCTAGTGTTCACTTCTCAGTTAGTCTGTAGGCACTGGGAATTGAACGTTGCATTCTCTTGTGCATGGCGCCGTTAAAGATGCATGTGGATAGGGAGCGGCAGACTCCCCTGCTCGAAGGGAAGGCAGTCTTGCATCCCTGTGCCCAGCCTCATGTGGTGGCCTGTAGTGGTCTCTTTTCCCTCGCTTTGATCTCCGTGTTCAGCTGCCAGCAGCCCGGTTTGCCAAGGCTCTTGTGGCTGTGCTCTTACCAGCTACAGACATCTGCCTTCTTGAGGGGATGCAGTAAGGTGGCAATAATTGGGAAGAGGTACTGCCCAGGGCAGTGTTTGTCCTCAGAGCCGGAGACCTGTCGTTGCTGTTGCCTGCCCTGTCCTGGGGTATGTATCTCTGTGATACGCCACGGCACTGGAAATGAGATTCCGTCCTAACGGCAACTTGGATTCCCTTCTTGGAGCCAAGCACTCAAAATAGGTCAGAAGGTAGACATGATGACTCATGCCTGAAACCCCAGCACTTGGGAGGGTGAGCCAGGGGGATCACTGTGAAGACGGGGCTAATCTGTACTACAGAATGATACCCCTGGCTCCAGAATAAGGGAAAAAAATATTAAAGCAACCAGCCAAACAAACAAAAGGTCTGGCTCCCAGGGCTGCATCCCGAGAGAGAGGGGAGAGTGCTCTGTCTGTGCAGGAAACTGGTTCCCAAGCCAGACCACACAGTATGGCAGACTGTGCTGGAGCTGGGTGAGGGCTATGCATGGTGAGCAGGGCGTGGCTTGTGCAGAGGAAGCTGTCTGGCTGGCTGCCAGCGGTCTGTGATGACTGGCGGCTTGTGTCTCTGAAGGCCCAGGTGTTGCTCCTCTCTCATGTCCAATCTCCCTCAGGGATTAGCAGCCTGGACTTCCCTGCTGAGGCACTAATAAACAGGGGCACCACCCAAATAGGCAGTAAATGAGAAAATGACCTTTTTTCCCCTCTTTAATTTAGAGTATGAAAATAACCTTTGTTCTTCTTCAGCTGTCCTGAGACAAGCCAGTTTTCTCTGGTGGAGGTGAGGGCGGCTCTGTTTTTTTTTAGTGGGGGCAGCAAACAATAATAGTAACAGTGATGAAAGCCGCTTGTAGGCTGGGCAGTGTTTGCACAGAAGTGTATTGGTTCTGATTCTGCTCTCTGGAGTCTCAGCTTCTGGTTTCCTAAGGTGCTCTGAGGGGACGGAAGCTGAAGGTGTCTGTTGGATGTGCTCATGCTTCAGGCTACTCGCTTTCCTGCCATCTCCCAGGCATTAGTTTTTCCTGACAATGCTGCTGTCTGGATGAGTTCTTTCCACACAATCCAGGTCAGAGGGAGTTCCTGTGTCTCCTTTGGGAAGGAAGGGGCATGACAGTTTCTGGCACTTGCCCCAGGCACAGCGGGGGAAATGCTCCTCCTGCAGCAGTGAGCTAGCTCACTAAGCAGTTGTGCTTTCTGGAGCTGGGGTGCAGAGGTTCAACCCTGGCTAGATTGTATCAAGAGGTTAGGGGGAGGCTGGAGAAAATGACTTCTCCACCCACCACCCGGTTGACACCCCCTGGGTAGGCTTCCTACACCAAGCAATTGCCCTAACCTCTGCAGCCCTCAGATGGCTGCCCTAGCATCTAATTAGTTCACAGTAGGGGTTCAGTCACTCAAGGCTGTTTCCTCTTCAGATGCCAATTGCAGGCGGTGGCTCCACACTTCCAAGTGGAATCCATTGGCTACAAACTGAAGGTTCCCAGGACGTTTTCCCTCCAGTGCTGTGGAATATTACTTACTTTAACTAGGCAAAGATGTGTTTCATTTGTTTATGCTGCCTTTGTTTAACGATGTAAAGATGTGTTGCTTTGCCTGCCTGAGGCACCTGATTGATCTAATAAAAAGCTGAAAGTCCAATAGCTGGGCAGTAAAGGATAGCCAGGGCGGTGGGCAGAGAGAATAAGTAGGAGGAGGGGTCTAGGCTTGGGGGAAGAGAGAAGAGAACAAGAAAGGGGAGATGCCCGGGGCCAGCCAGCAGACACTGTAGAGTAGGTCATACAGAAAGAAAGATAGAAAGCCCTGAGGCAAAACATGATGAAGAGAAACAGGTTAAGCTATAAGAGCTAGTGGGGCAGGGGTAAGACAAGGCAGAGATTCATAACTAATAATAAGTCTCTGTGTCACGATTCGGTAGCTGGTTGGTGACCCGAAGAAAGCCGGGTACACTCCAGTTCAATAATCGTCAATGGAACTCCAGGAAATGCTTTGGTTTTACTTGCTAGGATATTATAAAGGGATTTAAGTGAAGAGTCACATGAAGAGCCACACGGGGCAAGATACGGAGCAGCCCTGTGCATAGGGCTGTCTGTCTTGCAGAGTCGGGATATACTGCATCCTAACATGGGGAAGTGATGGCCAACCCAGAATCGCTCCAAATTCCAAGGGTTCTAAGAACTCTGTATTGTGTGGTGGTTTGAAAAAAACCAATGGCCTCCAAAGGGAGTGGCACTGTTCGGAGGTGTGGCCTTATTGGAGGAAGTGTGTCAATATAGGGGCGGGTTTTGAGGTCTCTCTTGCTCAAGCTTCCCGCAGTGGGACAGTCAGTTGATTTCGTGTTGCTTGTAAGATGTCACATTCTCAGCTACCCCAGCACTATGTTTGCCTGTATCTCACCATGTTCTCTCACATAATGAACTGAACTTCTAAAACTGTAATCAAGTCACCCCAATTAAATGTTTTATTTATAAGGGTTGCTGTGGTTATGGTGTCTCTTCATAGCAATAGAAATGCTAAGATAGAAGTTGGTACCAGGGACTGAGGTGTTGTTACGATAGGCTTGGCCATTCTTTTGTTTGAAAGAATATGGACTTTGGGACTGTAGATTAGGAAAGCAGTTTAACGTTTTAAGTGCTACATACTAGGAGGAGCATGGAAGACGGTGGTACTGAACGTGATTTGTTGAACTGTGGGTGACTGGAACAAGAGGTTTCAGAAGGGAAGAATTTTAACAGTATGTTGCCTAGAGATTGTTCTTGTGATATTTTGGTGAAGAAAGTGGCTGCTTTTTGCCCTTGTCCAAGAGTCTACCTGAGGCTAAAGTGAAGAATTTTGGATTAATTCATTTGGCAGAGGAAACCTCAAAACAGCCTGGTATATACTCTGTCATGTGATTACTAGTGTTCAATCTTATAATGAAAAGGAGCAAGTTGAGCAGGGAAAACTGCAAAATGTGCCATTATATGTTGGAGGTATGTGATCTGCTTTTTGATTTTGATCTTTACATGTGATTACGGTTAAGAGATTGCCATGCATCTCTGAAGAGACTTTGGACTGAAATAAGTTTGAGACTGTTATAGACTATAGGGACTTTTGAAGCTGAATGCATTTTTTTCATTATGATATGGCTGTAAGCCTTTGGGAGCCAGGGAGTGGAATGTGGTGGTTTGAAAGAAAATGGCCACCAAAGGGAGTGGCACTATTAGGAGGTGTGGCCTTATTGGAGGAAGTGTGTCATTGTGAGGGCCGGCTTTGAGGTCTCTTCTGCTCAAGCTTCCCTCAGTGTGACAATCAGTTGACTTCCTGTTGCCTGCAAGATGTAGTGCTCTCAGCTCCTGCACATCTGCCTGCACCGCCATGCTCCCGTCATGATGACACTGGACCAAACCTCTGAAACTATAAGCAAGCCACCCCAATTAAATGTTTTCCTTATAAGTGTTGCCATCCCTGATCATGGTGTCTTTTCACAGCAATAAAAACCCTAACTAAGACAACATGCAAATGGAATGAAGATCAAATGTATACTTAGTATTCTCTACCACATCTCAGAAGCCCTTAAACACTTGGTTAAGATTTTTTTTTTACTTTTGTTGTCCATTGGAAAGACTCTTATTTACTTGAAGGATGGAATTGCTTTTTACCAAATATCCCATCTAGTAGCTAAACTATTTTAGTTTCTGTAAGTGTCTCTGTACCCTGTCTAACATGCAAATCTGTCAGTCAAGGATGGAGGTGAAGTCAATGGATTATATAGTGACTTGGCCCTAGAGCAGTGTATGGAATAGTTTTGCATCTGAGGTCTTTGGTGGCAAACCCCACTGCTTTCTTGGCATATGACTGGTAGTCAATTCTAGCTCTGAATTTTTATATCAAGCTGCTTACAAATTAAGAAGAATTATTCTTACTGTTGCAAATGGCAGGTTTCTCTTACTGCGTAATGAAGTAAAGCCACATAAACGGGAGCTTTTGAGAAGGCAACAGGAAGAGGGCTGTATCTGCTGATGTGAACGGTATCTGCTGATGTGAAAGGCTGCCGTGGTGGGGGCCCAGACATCACACCCTCTCCCCCGTTGGAGTACTGTTTCCTATGGAGGGAAATGGCTTTTCCGTAGTCCTGCATGCAGCTAAACTGGATTGCTTTCTGTGGGAGAGGACAGAACCTAGGCTCCACCATGTCTATTCTTGTATAGTGGTTACATTTCTTCTTGCTGTGACAAAACACCCACTAAGAGCAACTTAGAAGAACAGTTTGCCTTGACTCAGGACTTGGGAAGGGATACAGCTGATGGGGTTGTGGGCAG